ACTATACTTTGGCAATTATCAGATTTTTGTATATAAAAATTTTTTAGATAAGTAATTTTTTAGATTTTTAACCTATTCTTCTAAGTGTACTACCGGTAGTACAAAAGCCAAAATCCTATCCATTAATATAATACTGATATACCAACCAGGGACCCATAAAAATTTGGATCCAAAAATTTCCAAAAATTTACAAATTTTTGGCTTTAATTTTGATATTTTCAAATTTTTGTGTTTTAGCCAAATTTTTCTAAAATTTTTTAGAAAACATGTGATCTCTAGTCAATAAAAATAAAGTATTTGGGAACCCAGAAAATTGTGGGCCCCAAAATTGATAAAGTCTGGTCAGAAGATTTAGGAATTGTGGTGCATGTCTGTCGGAAAGCTTCGGAATTGAAATAACTTGTCCCGGTTATGCAAAAATTGGGTTATTTGATTGGTCAACAGTGCTTTTCTGACGAAAAATAACCCAAATATTTCCAAATATTTAAATTTTTTATCCAAATATTGGTCAATACCCAAATAAATTTTTGCAATTTGATATCCAAATTTTTACAGGTCCCTGATACCAACTGATATCCATATAATTTATTAATTTGAAATAATTATTATTACCCTTAAAATGATTAATTTAGGGTCTGATTAAAAGGACCAATTCTGCCGATTCGCCAAAATGAGAATCAGCTAGTATTATTTCTTATAACTATGCAATTGTGCGATATAATATCTCCAAATTCTCTATTTTAACTAGTAATAAACTATTTTGCCCGCTAGTACAAAGGGTAGAAACTAGAACAAATTATTATTAGTTTAGATAAGGGGGAGGTGAACATTTAGTAGGGCAATAATTATATTTAAGGTTTTGTTATTATTACGAAGTTTTTTTAGGGATGTTAATGGTTGATCTAGTCTAATTTGATTTTATAAATCAGATTAAAACTAAACCAGATAAAAAAAAAACTTAAATCAAATTATAACTGAATAAAATTAAATATAGAAAATTGAACCAAACTAGAATTAAATATAAAAACTAAAACTAATATAAAAATAACCAAATTGAATTAAAATTGGACTTGTTTAAACTAATTTGATTTTTATGTACCCCTTGCATATTTTATGCACCCCTTGTATTATTATGCACAAATATGTATAATTATATATGATTATGCAAGGGGTGCATAAAAATAAAAACTAAATAGACTAGTTTAAACAAGTCCAATTTTATATTAATCTAATTTATATCAATCTAATTTTATATCAATTCAATTATGATTATTAGTTTTTATATTAATTCAATTTATAATAATTCAATCTTATAATAATTTAATTCTATAGTAACTCAATCTTATAATAGTTTAGTTTTATAGTTATTTAGTTTTAACCTATAGTTTAATAGTCTAAAACTGAACTATTAACATCCCTAAGTTTTTTAGGATTTGACAGAGTGAGTCAGGAAAATTTCATTTATAAAATAATTTATTGCATATCAGGCTTTATAATTTCTTTAAAAATTTAATTTAATTTAAAAACCACACTATATAGTTGCGTAATAACACACATGGGCATTATTTTAAAATTTTAATTTTTTAAAAAATGGCATATTTGACTCAAAATTTTGTTTCTTATTGAGGGGTGTCATATATGGCAATAAATGGCACAAATTAACAAACAATCAAAGCAATCAAAAACAATCAAAAAACAATTGGAAAACAAATAGAAAATAATAAACTCAAAAGAAAATTAATTATGGGTTATCTGTCCTTTCCGCTAAAGTGCCTAATGTACAAAACCATTAATACAGACTTCAAAAGTATCATATGAAAAGAGCCTAGGCTACAGTCTATTGTGCACGCTATTATAGAGGTAATTTTTAGTAGGTGGGGCAAAAAAAACCAGAATCCTACTGGAAAAAACCTCGTCGCAACCAAACTTCTGTGACTGTCATCCCGACAGACCATCTTTGTTGCAAAAATCAAAAATAAACCATGACTGTCATACTGACAGGCTACTTATTATAACCTCAAAAACTCAACCAAACAACTATCATCTTGACAGATCATGAAAACTTGAAATAACTATCAACCTGACAAGCCATGATTTCTTTAATTAATGATTACTATTCCAATAGGGTAAACCTCTAAAAGATGCTCACTAGGGAGGGCAAGGGTGGGGCGAAAAAACCAGACAAAGTTGAGTTAGCAGAAAAACAGAACTTACTCTTCCTGGGAAAAAAACCTCATTTCCCTTAAATACTAACTAACAATTACTAATTGTAAAACTATATCATTATGTCATAAATCAAACAATGAATCAAACGATCATACAATAATAATAACAATGCCAGAGACTAAAAAATCATACAATAAGTTCCTTGTATAAATCAGTTAATAAATCATATATATTACCCGATTTCTAATATACCTCGTAACTGATTTAGAAAAAATGCTGCTCCGATACTTTCATATCGGGCAGCTAAATTTGTTCTTCATTGAGGGGTGTCATATATGGCAATAAATAACACAAATCAATAAACAATCAAAGCAATCAAAAACAATCAAAAAACAATTAGAAAACAAATAGAAAATATTGAACTTAAAAGAAAATCAATTATGGGTCCTTGCCAAGTATTGAAACGAAAAAGAGTTTTTCTACCATATATAAAGGTTCCATATCTAAACAAAACCCATTATCTTTAAGATCCCTAACTCAGCAGTACCAACTGCTCTCAAATAAAGTTGAACTGCCCCAGATGTTCAACCACCAATAGACTGGATTTGCTCCAAGGTCATCCCACTCTTCATGGCTGCTATAGCACCTCTAATTCTCAGGCTATGCACCATATACCTATCATGTAGCCCAGCATTCCCACAAAACGCCTAACTATTACCAAAACTGCTGCAACCGACAGCTTTCTACTGCTTTTAGACAAAAACAAAGGGTCATCTGACAATATTTTAGGTCTTAGCCTTAGATATCGATCCAACAACCTAACCGAGCACACATCACTTGCTAATTTCTCGATTGGAATAAACTTTTCTTTCCCCAACTGGTCCATTTTTGACCTAACAACTCTTATCCATAATTTACTATCTCTCTCTATGACATCAAACTTCTTTAAGTTGTATAGTTCACTAGGCCTACACATAATTCTCAAACCCAGAGCTACCAATGCCAGGTCTATAACACCACATTTGCCCCAGGGGAGGACAATTCATATACTTCCTAATTACTGAAACTGGTAATGGGTTCTGAGGCCACTTATCTTCTTCTTTTTCATGAGAGGCAGCTCTTTTAATACCTTCAACAATCATTCAGATCTGACTGTTCTTTGTTGGGTCTACCAAGCCTCTAACCTTGTGTTCCCTAGCTATTGCCGCCAAACAGGTTGGTATCTCTGAAACCCTTTTTGATAAGTTCAACCAAGCAAGAAAAGCTGCCAAAAGCTCATTTGTGGCAGGGTACGGGCGGCCCCAACCAATGAGTGAAACCTACAAATACCTCTTGTACCTTTTCTAAACACCTCCTATATATTTCACAAACAGAATTGTTTATTAAAACATTTGCCCTATTTAACAATTCCTCAACCAATCTAGAAGCACCACCCTCAAGGCCCATTGATTGTTTTTTACAAGGTTCCAAATTTCTCGAAGGTTCTAGATAAACTATTTGGCTTGCTGGTAGCAAATCGATTTCCTTCTTTTGTGAATTTACTATTATTGGCCATCACGAAGCTGAGACCCAAACTGGCACTATAACAACTACTAAGACCCCACATTCCCTGGCATAACACAATGCTCTGTGAATCAGACTGAATGGAGGACAAACATAATTTTTCACCCTGGCCCAATTTTGGATAAAGCAATCTACCACCTCTGTTTCTAGACAGAAATACAGGCTGTTGAACCTCTGGGTCTTTGAATTCAGATGACTCGCAAACCTGTCTACTTCGAACTTCCCCCAAACCTGTTTTAGATAGGCTGTTACATCTGAATTTAACACCCAATCTCCCTGGTCCAGAACCCTGGTTAAAGTATCTGCTAGATTCAACTTGCTCGAAATCTACCTTGTACTAAAAATACTGATATTGGCTTCCACACACATTTTCCAAATCTCCCTCATGATATCCTTCTGCCAGTCTGTAGAGCCTCCATTCGACACCATCCTCAATGCTACCCTGTTGTCAATGAATAGAGTAACCCAGGTTCCTTTCAACAACTTTCTGAACAATTGAAGTACTCGAAGCATGGCCAAAGCTTCTAACTGAGCAATAATATTTGGGGCATGTGGTTGTACCCAACTTCCCGAAGCCTTGTACTCCTGAAAAATACCACACCAGCCCTTTGTCAATGCATTGACATAGACCGATCTTACTCCAGGCTGGTTGCCTATTCCATTTTCCTAGGTTCTTTACCAACCAACAAATATCCTCAATTGCTTGCGCCAAAAGTTGGACATTGCTGTCCTATTGCTATACACTCTGATTTTTGAAATCTATCAATTTGTAAAATTCCATACACTTCATCTGACTCAGCAGAAATGCTCTTCCTAAACTCACTATCTTTTCCACTATAGAGGCCAAGTCTCTTGCAGTTACTGCCAGAGTTTTCAAAATTTTTTTCAATTTCAAAATGACTAAAGCTATTTTTTCCTCCAGGGCTATCACCATTTGTTCACAGTGTTCACTAACATTCTGCAAAACTTTAATACTGTGTCGGGTTCCAACACTCTTTCTTTCTGGCCTGAACCCAACCACAGCCTATTAAATCCATATCTATAATTCTGTCTCTTATTTCTAATAAACCACCTTTTGTTGGATGGGTGACCCATACATTGTCCAGGTGGCTCCTACAATACACTCCTTGGGCCCGCTATTTGCCAATCAAGACCCTTATTATCTTTGAAAAACCCCAAAGAGCCTGGCTAAGACCAAAAGGCAACACCCTGTACCAATACCACGTTTCTTCTACGACAAAACCCAACATTCTTTGTGCTTTGAAATTCATCAACACATGATAGTATCCATCCTTTAGGTCAAAAAAAATTAACCACCAATTTCTCTCTATCATTCATAACAAGCCACCCAGCCCCTCAAAACAAAAAGACTTCTGGGTAGAGACCAATTTAGCCTTCACAAGTTGATTACTAAATGAAACTTCTGAGGACCCTGCTTTGGAACTAGAAAAACAGGGCTTACTTCTAGAAGCTCTACTGGACGAACAGTTCCTTTGCCTAGCTTCACTATTGCTCTAGCCAACTCCAATCTCTCCAATTCCCTTTCTAACCAAAGCATCTCCTCTTCTGTAAAATGATAAGATTTTGGGGTTGGACTGGTTACTAAACGCATTAAATTTCTCAGAAACAACAGAATTCCCTCCTTCAACCACCTCAACACCAACTGTGACAGCCTTACTGTGTCCTCCCAATATTTTATGGCTGCTGGGTGGTGGATCCTTCCTGTCACACACTCTGGCTCTAACATCCCCAAACCCATCACCCCCCAAGTGTAGTCAACTACTTCCTGATTGTGCACCGTCACCACAAAAGGGCAAACCCAGATGCTTCCTAGAACTACACTTGTTGGCAAAATGCCCTTTTCCTTCATATAAACAACAGACCACCTCTTTTCCTTTAATCCACTTGCTTTTATCACTTTTCCTTGCCCAGTACGGGGACAAGGAAAAAGATTGCTGCTGTCCTGGTGACAACTGGGCAACATTTGGGTTGAAACCCTGCTGGTGCTGTCCTTGAAAAAACTGAGGGCCACCTGCCCAGCCTGAGTAGGAAAAGTCAACAGTGTATAAGGTAAGCACGAAAAAACCAGACAAAGTCGGGTTAGCAGAAAAAACAGAACTTACCCTTCCTGGGAAAAA